ATTTAGAAAATCTTGTAACAGCCCTGGATTCAGCACTGGGCAGACCTTTCAAGACATCCTTGAACAGACGTTCAGTGTCGTAAGTGAAAAATGTGTGTTGCTTATCAGTAAGATACTTGAGAAGACATTAGAATCCGTCGAAAGTTTCAGCAAATACACGACATTGAAGTAAAAACTTGAATTGAACGAAATAAAAAAATTTCGTGCGAAAAGCATGGAAATCGGAAGCGGTCATCACAATAGCGGGACCTTTTCCTTCTTGACACTAAGCCGGGAATGTTTAATGGAATTTTGCCTGGATCATTCTTATCATCCGTGAGCACATCAAATTGATTGCACAAATAAATATCATCTGAAGGGGGATCAAGATATTGGCCTTTTCCTTTGCGTTTAGGCGCTATGGGGGCAGAACAGAGTTTCACCAAATCGACTTTCAAGGAGATTACTATAAGAATACGATAGATCGTAGGGTCCGAACAAGGATTGAACAGGATTAAGAATTGAAAAGGTAGAAAATTTGCAGGTATTTTTAGCATTGAAAAGTGCTTTAAATTTGTAGTAGCTTTAGGTAGCAGTAACACTTCCTTCAGCAACAAGCAAATAGATCAGCATGGGAAGAGAGCACGATGCGGACTGGCTAAGTCAGCTACCTTTGATTATTTGTATGTTCAAAAACCTAAAATGTAAGGCTCACTTAAAATACCTGTTACTCATTTTATTTTTAACCAATTCGATCACAACAGGTTTATTTTGAAAGTGAGTAAAAAGCTAATATTATCATGTAAATAAACTATGAAAAAAAAAAGATATATGTTAAGCATAAATACTCATCGTGGCTCCTATCTTGTTTTCGAATTCTAATGTGAATTAACCACTTCATTCTAGCAGTTAAAATGACGTTTACTACCACTCGAACTTTGAAATTAAACATTATTTTGAGATTTTTTCTTATAGAACCACGAGAAAAGTAGTCATCATTTGTGCGTTTCATAAATAGAAATTAGTTGGTTCAGTTTTGTGGAATCGTTGGCAGAAAGTCACGCCAAAACTGCTTGACAAAAGTGGTCAATTGGTTTGATGCATGGTGAGTAGGGTGCTTCATTTTGAAAAAAAAATGGTAAATTTCTTATAGGCCGATTCAATACCCCAAAACATGTGACCGAAAAATGGTAAAGATTGAAGGTTTATATGTCGTGCTAATGGATTGTACTGTGTATTAATATTAATTTATTTGATAAGGCTCAACCGAATTAAGGGCCGAGGATTCTTGTTCACTATATAATACATCTTAAAACTATAGTCAAATGGTACAACACAATAAACATGTTATCTCGCGTTATCCAATAATCCTCCTCCACCAGAACGGTAGCCGCTTCCAGTGGTTTCATTGTATGGCAGATTCGCCAACGAGGGTCACAGCGCTTCCATTGCAGCAAGGGACGCAAAACGTGGTCATCGCTCTCACACTCATCACGAAACGGTTGCTTTCCAAAGTCGACGATGCATCGACTGAAAGAACTGCTGATGAAGAACAATGAGGAGGACCACACAATAATGGTTGCTGCCGAGTAAACAGACGATCGCGTGACACACATTGAGAGTGGTCTGCTTCTGTCGACAGCCGAGTGAACACTGGATTGAACTGTGTATGGAGATTTTGGTGAATTACTATGGGAAATTATTGAATTTTACTAACATTACTCTAACATTGGTTGTAGGGATTCAAATTGGTTTTTGTTTGTCGTGACAATAATCAACAAGCCTGTTATTGTTAGGATAAAATTGGTGCTGTTGTCTTTCATCTTCTCTAAAGGGCGAACACGAAATTATTGCGACACATTCAACAGGGCATAACTTTTTTACCATTGGGTAAAAATCAACCAAATTTTGCACACTTTCTCATTGATGTGTATTGTGTACATGCTGTCAAACTCGAAGTCGTGTTTTTCAATTCAACGAAAATGGAGGTGAACCAACGTGAGTTGAGAGAACAAATTCTTTCCAAACACCTGGAATTTCCTGACCTGTCGCACCGGCAGTTGGGAAAAATGTTGAACATTCACCATTCAACCGTCTCCAGAGTGTTGAAGCGGTTCCAGGAGCGGTTGACGTTGGACCACGGCAAAGGAGCTGGAAGAAAACCGGGACCGGAGAATAAAAAGACGGAGGGAAAGGTGAAGCGGATGATTAAAGCAAATCCCAACGTCTCAAGCCGTGATTTGGCTAAAAAGATCGGCATGTCGCAGAGCTACGTCCAGAATGCAAAGAAGAGAGCTGGACTACATACATACAAGGTACAGAACTTCCCAAACCGCGATGAGCGGCAACAATCGACGGCTAAAACTCGGGCACGGAAGCTCTACGAGAAGATGCTGACAAAATATGGCTGCTGTGTGATGGACGACGAAACGTATATAAAAGCCGATTTTAAGCAAATTCCGGGGTTGGAGTTTTTCACCGGCAAGAGCAAGTTCGATGTGGACGACAAATTTAAGAAGAAGAAAATGTCGAAGTTCGCCTCCAAATATCTCATTTGGCAGGCCATCTGCTCTTGCGGACTGAAGAGTGAGCCTTTCGTGACAAAGGGCACAGTAAATGGCGAGATCTACAAATCTGAGTGCCTCGAGAAGCGCCTTTTGCCGTTCTTGCAGCAGCACGACGAAGCTCCGCTATTTTGGCCAGATTTGGCATCATGCCACTATTCTAAAAGTATCCTGGAGTGGTATGAGGCCAATTCTGTCCATTTTGTTCCAAAGGACATGAATCCACCAAACTGTCCGGAGCTGCGCCCGGTGGAGCAGTACTGGGCAATAATGAAGCGGGAACTTCGGAAGAGCAAGAAGACAGTCAAAGACGAGAAGGACATGTAAAGAAAATGGAAAAAAAAACTGAGAAACTGGTACCGGATGACACTGTAAAGACTTTGATGGAGGGCATCAAGCGAAAATGCGTTCAATTTTACACTCAAGGCTCCATCGATTAACTTTTCTTTTGATCTTTGAAGTAAATATATGTATAAAACTACCCTAAAATTTTGGTTTGATTCTAAACATTATAAGAAAATTGGCATGACATTTTCGGTGTCGCAATAATTTCGTGTTCGCCCTTTATTATGTTTTTTTTTTGCATTTTCATATAAACTGATCGTTCTGCCTAATGTGATCTATGATGGCAAAGAGTCCAATAGTGAAGAAGAAGCATGCAACTTCTTCGGGCTGCATTTCGCATCCATCTTCGAACCATTGTCATTGTCCGACGTCGAGGCCGAACTTTCTGCGTCAAATGTCGCGCTGGATGCAGTTGATTTAGACACGTTTGAAATTTCATCTGCAATGATCATCGGTGATTCAAAAAAGTTGAAGAATTCATTTGCTCCTGGCCCGGACGTAATCCCTCCTGCTATGTTCCGTCGCTGCGCATGCGCAGTAGTTTCTCGAGCTTCTCGAGATTATCGTCAGTGATCAAATTCTACGCCCTACAGAAAACCTCATTTCGTCAGATCAACATGGATTTATTCCCGGTAGGTCTGTTGCTACTAACTTGCTGGATCTAACTACTACCTGTTTTTCGGCTATGGAAGATAAAGTGCAGGTTGACGTAATCTATACACAAACGTAATCTTCTCTGCTTACGCTCGCTTGGTCTGTAGTACTCCTAGTCCACAGACTGAGGTGTAACAAAATTTCGTGTACTTAGTTATGTTATTTCATATAAAGTTTTGTACAATTATGGCGTCCAAAACTTCTTCTTACCCTTTCATTAAAATTTAACCTGATTATTTAGTGCATTACCTTCAATGTACAAAACGACGTTTCTCAGTTAACCTCTGACATTTTTATATTTATTTTGTATCAGTATAATTGCAGCAAAGGGCTATGGATACGGTTTGTCTATTTCCAGTGTGCTGTGGTTTAGGAGCTATCCACGAAGAAATTAAATGTGTTAACCCGTACATTAAATAACCTTGAAACTGCTGCCAATAAAATAGCACGATTTTCGAACAAACTAGCAAACTTTGACATGTTGCAACTTTGTTCTGTTATGACCAATGGGGCTACATTGTTGGCACAGAAGTATGTATAAATATATTCTTTAAACAAACTTGAATATTATGTAATACATAAAGTTTAAAAGTATATAGTTGTGGTGCAATCAGGCATGGAAAATCATTTGCATTCATTTCATACATTCATTTACATTCATTTGCCTCTAACTTTTTTCATCAACAGCATTCTGCAAAATGATGTATAGAGCTTTTGTAGGTTTTGTTATTAGCTACAACTTTTGCTCATAACTCAAATCTGTATCTCTTATGTGTTACGAATTAGAGCGGGCAGAACTTGTTACTGTTTTTCAGTGAATGTAAAATACATTCACTGAAAAACAGTAGTGGCTTCTGTTCGCTCTGGTTCGTCATGCATAAGATAAACGGATTTGACTTGTTAACAAAAGCTAATAACAAAACCTACAAAAGCTCTATACATCATTTTACGGAATGCTGTTGAAGAAAAAAGTTAGAGGCAAATGAATGTAAATGAATGTATGAAATTAATGCAAATGATTTTCCATGCCTGGGTGCAATTAAATATAAATGTAATTAAAATATTATAGAATTGAGCTAAAAACATGCCTCTAGCGTACTCGGAGGCAGTTAGGGGCAGGGTATTTTTGTGGCAGCGATAAGCAAAGACAGCTTGCATCAATTTCTACTCATTTACATCTCCAGAATCCACCTGAATACAAAACAAATTTATCTATTTTTCCATTTGTTGCTACTTATTTACAACACCTGGTGCCGCGGATACACATCTGTCACTCGACAGACTATGGGCATGAGCATTATTTGTTTAATAATTATGAGCACAATACAACCACTATACAAGTGTGGCCATGAGTTTTGTTATACAATCAAGGTTCATGCTCATGGTTTGTCATACAAGTGTATCCGCGGCATTAGAATCATTCTAAGGCTAACTGTCATCATGATTGATTGGATCACATTCTCGTCAAAATTGTTCATTTATTTTCTCCACATTCTTCTTACCGGATATCTTACAGCTATAAATGAGTGAGTTTTAGTTGAATTTTTAAGTATTTTAATGATCACACAAACTGCTTAACTGGTAAAAAATACTGATTTTGTATTGATATGGCGACACTTGACGACTATCAAGGAATAGGAGAGCTCTAGAACACGGCATCTACGATCTAAGGAAACTTCAACGATCAACAAATTACATAAATATTCAATAATAGGGTACTAACTTACGTCCTAGTGGTAAAAGTAACGATTGGCAATGGCAATGCTATAAATACAAGCAAATGTATTTCAAGATTTACAACGTCATGGTCGCTATAGATCTTCCGTCAGAATGCTGCATCGGTGCAAGGAGTGTGTTGTTGTGCATAAATACACGTGGGAAAACTGAATTGATGCATTAATTTTTCACATAAAATCTGTACGAACAAATCGGGAATCATTAGCATTTGTGCGTTAGACTGCAGCAACCAAACGGTACGGTAGCGGCTCTTTGAAATATAATTTTCAATCGGAAGGATCGAGCAGATCTTACATAATTTAGCGATATTTTATTACGTTAACCAATAAATATATATCTTAATCGACTATTGTTAAAAATCTCGCCGTCGTGGTTCGTTGTTTGGTACTATGCGAGAGAGCCTGGGCGAGACTGATCAGTGACACGTACGTGCCGCTTGTCGTTGAAATTTCCTTAACCGCCGATGCCATTCGTCACGCCATTCGATGACGATAGATCGCGGCCCGATGCCGAGCGCTCCCGGTGGTCCCTCCGTGTCCCGACCGAGGATCAGATAGGATCTAAAAATGAATCAAATGAGATATTTGTGGACATTTATCCTCTCTAGCGATACTCACTTATTCACTTTGATTCTTGGGCAGCGGCATTCGAGATTTTTCACGTCCACGACGAGCGTTACGTGGGTTGACCTTCTCAGCGACAACGCCAGAGGGCTGCTTGGACTGGGGCTTCTTTTGAACACCTTTTGGACGCTTAGTGTGAACTTGACCACGTCGTTGCTGTTCGGGTTGTGGTTTGTGTTGCTTTTCAGGTTTCCGTTGTCGCTTTTCGTGTCCTTTGCTGTTACTTTGGCCATTATTACTGAAATTTTCGAAATATTTTTGATGAGACGTTGCTTTAAAGTGTTATTTCCAGTAAATTGTTATGATACTGATGTTAAATTTTTGGTGCGAATGTGCTACAATTTCGAAGCTAGCATTAAACTGAAATTTAGAAATCTAAAATTTTCCGCCCTATCAGTGGAAGCTACATCGCTCTGGTAGCAGGAAAAAAGTTCATTTTTCATTTCACATGCTGCAGTTGACTGGCTAAACAGCGGCTTTCCCTCATCTTGTGTAAACAACAAGCATATCCCTGAGCGTTCATTTCCTGACCATTGATCCTGACGGGAGGGAGAGAGAACTGCACCCGTGTATTTTCCAGACATTCCTGTATTTATACTTTTTTGCTATCCTCTCTGGATTTTCCTACCGGGTCCTGCGTTGGTATCGAAAGCCCGCAGGGCTACATCAAAAATTAATTTCAGTTTTGAAAACTAGAAAGGCCAGTCCCACCGAAACGGAGCTTCCGTTTGCGGCTTGCTGAGGAATGGGACTTGAACATATTGCCTAGAAGCTTTTTTTTATGTCAGAATCGATATTTACAGATGAGAAGAAAAAATTAATAAAATGTATATTTGCAGCACGCGTCTCGCTTGTCCATCTTTCAACGATCCGTTATTTTATTTTGTAACGAAAATATATAGGGTCTACGATCGAAGGAGATGGAAATTCAAGTTGTAATATTTTATCCCAAGGAAACATGGCACAACAAAAGGATTTAGCATCGTTGTGGTGAGAAATGGGATTGAAATGAACCCGGATAGAAATATTGGGAAGCAGATTTTGTGCAATAGTACAGGCATAGGGTAGGATAGTCTAAAACAAACCCGGGATCAAATGGCCCCAAGTTGTTTTTTTTTATAGCTTTCCGATTGTCAATTCATGAATTTAACAAACAACATTGCTAGGTCAGTACTAGCACATAAAATCTCATGATTAGTAATGGGAAAGCAACGCGGGGTTATTTCACCTCAGGAGTGCGTTATGGACTGTTCTCCCCTACTCTATCTCTAGTGTGAACTACGTCTTTGTCGACTATACTGGGGTGCAAATCAAAAAATATGTGTGGTGGAATAGTTTTAGGTTTTGAACGCTTGTAACTTTGCCATTTATAGATGAAAATATAATCCAAATACGTCAATCGATAGGATATTACATTACGAACATGCTGAAAAAAAAAATGTTTTCAATTTTCCATAGAAAAACATTTGAAAAATATACAAATGATAATTTAATCTGTTTTCATGAAATAAACATTTTTCCCAAACCCAGTCGTCATAATCGAGTACCACTCGGTTGCACATCGTTCTGCTTGTACCTCAAAAGATATAAAACAGCGCTGCTGTCATGCCTTTACTCATTACCGCTTTGGACGGCGTGGCACTTGGTGCTGCATCAAGCAGGAGCAAGTCAGCGAATAAAGGTGCACCACGGCGTGATCACCTTCACAACCAGCGTGGGTCCCATTTAACTGAACCAAAACGCGGAAAAGTTATCCATGTGATCGCAACAATCGAAAATCGGGCGTTAAATACAGTGCTTGTTCATAATCTGGCCAGTTAGCGAATTCCACGAATTTATTTTTATTGACACTTAATATTCCAATCGAATGCCCCTCACCAATCATGACAACGAAATGTCAAACTAAATGTGACGTATAATTTTGATGTATAGCTGATGGGTGCCCCAGTTAAAAAGGTGCAGTTAAAGAACTCAACCTGCCGGCGCCGGTGGTGTGGTGGTAAACGTGACTGCTTTCTCACCCAATGGGTCAGGGTTCAATCCCAGCCGAGGTCGGTGGGATTTTTCTGAGGCATACAAATCTCTCGTCACGTCTTCCTTCGGAAGGGAAGTAAAGCCGTTGGTCCCGGCTCATGTGTGTTGAATGGGTGCGATATCCTACGCAGGAGTGGAAGCTGCCTTCCTGCCCATTCGATTGCCGTCAATGAACGGCAATCGATGTCCGTCGGTGATTGGCACTAGATTGCGGAACAGAGACCGACGTTAAATTTAATACAAAATAGAAAAAAGAAAGAAGAAAGATCGCAACCTCACTCTTTTTTGCATTCACCCACGAAATCGTGGGAAAAATTAGAATTTCGTCACAAAGATCAAACATTCAAAGAAAACGCAACATAAACTACTACCAGGGTTGGCATGCTCAATTTTTCGCATAAATTGCTCATTTGATAACTCTGCACTCACTAGACGAAACATGGTTTTTCTTGAAGCAATGAATAGAAAATAGTTTAAGGTTCCTATAGGTACGTAAACCACAGTAGATTATTTGTATTTTGGCGATAAGCTGTTCTCATTTGTTAAGGTTAACTACCCCATTTCCGGTCCATTAAGCACAACCCGCACTTAGGCTTTCTTAATGTAGCGTAGTTTAGCACCAAACGGAATGTTATTACTACTGATGGCTTCCCTTTTCGTAAATGATAAACAAATTGTTGAGCTATTTTTAAAAGTCTAACACTGCTTCTTGACACCAAACTCGGCCTACGGATTCTAAACTCGCAACTCGCAAAACGCATTGAAACGCCAATGAATTCACTTCCGGCCTATCGGATGAAGATAAAGTTTGATTCTGTCGGAGCGCATCATTTGTTTTTGAGAATATTGGGTGCAAACGCGTGCTTATTGATTTCGTTCGGTAACATTTGAACTAAAGCATCGTACCAAATGCATAATTTACATGTCAACACCGACATCATGGATTTATTTGATGTGTTATGCTTGATAGGCTCAAAAAGGGTGCTTAGGCCGAAGTAGTTCTCTACCCTAATAAAAAAAATCGCTGCTCATTTCGGAATGAATAATCTAATTGGTATGAATTTAAATGTTGTGATTTGACTACTCTAAGTTTCAGCCACTGAGTGAAAAACTATTAACAAAAGAGCATGCCAAACATGACTACTACTATTGCTCAGGGTGGCTCTACCAGAAAACCTTGAACAATTTCGGGGTCTCATTATCACCATGCAAAACCTTTAAAATGTCGGGAATTTTTAAAATCCATCACTGATCAGGAAAATCTGCATACTGCATTCAAGTATTGTAATTTTTTTTCTAGTTCGTCTCAGTCGCGTTAGCCGATAGTTAATCAACTATCAAAGAAAATATGACAATACATTTAATATTTTTTAAGGCTTGCATTAATAAAACCCTACTTTCTCGATGTTCTAGACAAACAAATCTCATAATATTGTTCCATGGTAATGTTCGAGTGATAGGAAACTTAATTTTAAAATGCTCGATTGATGTAATTGCATTACTAGCCTGTGCTGAATTTGGCTAAAAAAATAAAAATCCGGATTTTACGTTACTGCGACAAAAACAGGTAGGGTACCCGAAAAAAAAAATTACAGTGAAATTTTCAGTGGAAACAATGCTCTAACATTAATATTTATTGTCGACAATAAAAATGATTGTTATAATGTTGTACTCTTCCGAAAACGGCAAAACTGCTACCTAGCTGTACAATGAATGTACGTAATAAAATGTTGTTACAATGATTTTTATCGTATTTTTCATTTATTTTATTGTTAACATGATTCGATCATGAACAATAATGAACAACTCTATTACAATAAAAATTGTTGTGGTGTATTTTCATTGTGGGTTACTTCACGAACAATAAAAATATATCTGATTGAAGCATGCAGACTATGAGAGGGTCAGCAACACTGCCAATGTAATTAAGATAGGCGCTGCTCGTATGGCTCTGGCTTTGATAGTTCGTTTGGCTCAAAACCAGGCAGTCCGCGTCCGCTCATATCTTATCCTAGACCCTCTCTAAAGCTTAATGGAGACCTTTTCCGTGCAGTCAATAATCATACAATAATAATAAAAAATTCCACCACTTGAAGACAGTGCTGAGATTTGTCATTGTCATTGACAGACTTTCGCGCGATATTGACAAAATTGTTCGTCACATAGTCACTGACAGACTTGATCCTCAAAAAAACCTTTGTCAAAATCTCATTCATTTTTTCGTCAATGACAAAGATTCACCTGGTAACAAAAAGTGTAATTTAGTACATTCTGTGTCACATTATTGTTATCCAAGTAGCTCAGGGCGTAGATACTTGTTCACTATAATGGATCCATGTAATTGTTTTGCTCAAGTCATTTAATTTTGCTACAAATTTAGCTAATAAACAAATCTGCACATGTTCGTCACTGACACCATTGTCATTGACAATTGACATGGTTTGCCTTGACTATGACTGTTAGCTAAAATGAGTGACCAAAGCAGAATTGTCAATATCACCGTGTACTGTCGAGATTTTGCAGCACTGCTTGAAGATGTCAGGAAGGAACTCTCAGGTGGAGGCATATTTCATGGGCGATTCTCTCCAGTCGAATGCATTAACTTATCAACGACGCTCAACCACCAAGGAGACGTGACCTAGGGATATCGAGCGCAGGGGAGTTGGCCTGTATTTCTCACAAGTTCCAGATCGAATCTCGATCCATAACCAGTAAAAAAAAAAGGACCACCCGTAACAGACATATACCACCCCCTTCCCTTCCCGGGGCAATGTTTTATTTTTTCGATTTATTTTTAAAGTCCATAAAAAAGATCTGTCAAGCCAACACATACACTCTAAAGTACACTGTTATTTTTTTTAATCAATAAATTCGCCAACCAACAGTAAAATAACAATAATATATAATGTTATTGAAAAAAAAATTATATGGGAAAATCACGAAAATTTCATTGCATATTGCAACAAAGCAAGCAAGAAATATATCATTATCCTTCTACCACTCCGATCAAGCTGTGTTGCAGAGAGAGTTTGCCGTGGCAGTCGTAGCAAGCGTTTTGTATGTATCGTTGGTTACTTTATATGCTTGGATTCGCTGCAAATGAAGAAGCAGTGATGCAAAATTTCATGACACTCACGTGACACTCGTCTTCGCATCAACCGACTATCGCTGACAGATCGTTTTGTCACGCAGTGAGAGTTAGAG